GGGTCCCTCAGAACTGAACTTCATAAGTAAGACAAGGTCGGATTAAGAACTTGGGGGCTCGGGACAAATTTTGTAGGGGTCCCTCAGAACTGAACTTCATAAGTAAGACAAAGGATTAAGAACTTGGGGGCTCGGGACAAATTTTGTAGGGGTCCCTCAGAACTGAACTTCAGAAGTAAGACAAAGGATTAAGAACTTGGGGGCTCGGGACAAATTTTGTAGGGGTCCCTCAGAACTGAACTTCATAAGTAAGACAAATAAAATTCAGTACTATTTTTAACTACAGTTTGAACAATATACAAACACAAGCGATAGGTGAATAATGTACAAAATACTAATTGTAATATTTATGATAAATATAAAACAATGACAACGATTTTTTTAGTACATGGCAGAGCAAATAATTATGAACTAATAAGTTGTAAGAACATGTTCAAAAATTACAAAATAATAGGGTTAATACGAAACGATTAAATCTGCTGTTGTCACAACTGCAAAATAATAGGGTTAGTACGAAACGATTAAATCTGCTGTTGTCACAACTGCAAAATAATAGGGTTAATACGAAACGATTAAATCTGCTGTTGTCACAACTGCAAAATAATAGGGTTAGTACGAAACGATTAAATCTGCTGTTGTCACAACTGCAAAATAATAGGGTTAATACGAAACGATTAAATCTGCTGTTGTCACAACTGCAAACATGTTTTTCAATGAGACAATCAGTTTTTTTTTATTCTTATATTTTTCTCTTAGTTAGGAGCCACTTCGATTCGGGGGGTGGGTAATTTCACCCATTTGCCACTCTTACCTCGTTATATCCCATTATCCCTTGTTTGCTAGTGTAGGGACCTTGTTCACCGGGTCCAGTTACAGGAACACTTAGCCCATTTTTGTTAGGGTCTCTCAGGGTGAAACATCGACCGTATACAGGAAGCCCCATCGTTATCTTCTTAGGATCGGCTCCTCCGTTGATCCACAACTTGACCCCATAATCCTTAGAAAATACGAAACAAAAATCTATTACTCAGACCTTACAAGTGCGGAATAAAAACAAGTCTTTTTATAAGAGTAGTTCGGCTTGTTTCAATGAAAGTTTCAGATGAATATCCTGTGATTGATATATTAATTATATAAAAAAACTAAGTTTTAATATAACCATTCAACACACTTGGTTCACTTACGAAAATGTTTCGCTATTCAGTGCATGTGAACGTGAGATTCTCTTCTAGAAATTTTAGATTGTACGAAAGAAAAATGACTAAATACACCAGAATCTTATTAAAAGATTTTCATAAAAGTATAACTTGTACCTACCACGTTTAAAGTCTTATCTTCTGGAGATTCATCAGGTCTCGCATAGAGAGGAGCTACGTGACCTGTTTTATTTTCCCAGTCTCCATGGAGATCGTACGACATAAGATTAATGATATCAAGATACCTATGAAATAAGAAAAAAAGTCTTACAGCCTAAAGGTTAAATGGAAAAAGTATAATATATTATCTAATACTCAAAGATATACAATTTTAAGCTAAGATTGTAGGTTTGATGCGCCTCCCCCAGTGCCTCAGCGGTAAATCTGAATGGTTATAACGCTAAAAACCGGGTTTCGATATGCCTGGAGGGCATAGCAGAGATAGCCCATTGAGTAGCTTTATACTTAACAACAAACAAACAATTTAGCCCGTCTAATTAATTTTCTAAGTAATTTTCGTGCATCAGTCACGTTGTGAAAAATATAAAGGCATAATTCGTACTTGGAAATGCGTGTAGACTTTTACTTACATTGGAGCCCCCCACTTGCACAGCGGTATGTCTGCGGACTTACAACGCTAGAATCCGGGTTTCGATACCCGTGGTGGGCGGAGCATAGATAGCCTATTGTGTAGCTTTGTGCTTAATTACAAACAAAAAAATTACATTGGAAATATTTTGAATAATAATAATATAATATTTATTATACTTTATTGATTTATTTTAAATTCTCAAACCTCTCGACGACTAAAATTATGTTTTAAAATATAGGGTTTAATTCATGGATATATATATATATTATAGAAAACGTTTATGTAAATACGCGAACTTTTCTGAAAAATCCAAGTTTGGAAAGCAAAATTTGTACACATTTGAAGAGTTATTTAAGAATGTCATAATAGTTTTTTTTACTTTTTTTTTGTCTTCTGTAGACTTACAACGTTTCCACTGCTGAAAATGTATGTAGTGATCCCTAACTATTGAATTTGTTTGTTTCAGGATTCCGCGAAAATCTACATAATTCGTTCCTAATTATCAGCTGATAGACTAGAGGGAAAAGGCAGTTCGTCAACAGCACCCACCGTCAATTCTTGGGTTACTCTTGTCAGATCGAATAGTGGGATCTGACCGTCCCTCTTATAGCACACCCAGGACCACAAGCTAACCACTAGGCTACGACCGACCCTTTTAAGTATTAAAATGCAGTTTTCCATAAATCATAATAAGGGTCTTTATTTGAAATCTTGATGACAGTTTGGAATTATAATAAATAATTAGAATTTTTTTTCTCGATATCAGTTAGAAACGTTTGACACAGTAAAATATGTGAAGGATTAGTACCCGATAAATATAATAATTTAATTAACTATAGTGCTTGATTGGCTAATAACTTTATAGCAGACAAAGATTAAGTTACATTTAAGATAACGAGGTACGGATTAAGATAAAGCTATGATTTAATACCACTTAGGTTGTCAATCTCGGATTTAGATACGATTAATCTCAGATAGCTAATCTGTCATGGAGGGGAAAAAAAGAAACTTGCGAGTTAGGGTAGGAGGAACCTTCTAGTACTGATTATGTAATGTTTACTTAAAAGAACTAGTTTCCTGACGTTGATGAATATTTTGTAAATAAAATAAATAATTTGATAGTTTTATAAAAATATTGGAGTATCATAAGTAGCATGTATAACAAATTATACAAAAATTTAACACGTCTAGGGCGAAGCGAAATCTATATGTATGTGTGTGAGAAGTGGGGCTGTTGAGTAGATCTTTAAACAGAAAAATTTGGCTAGTGTCCGGCAAAAAGTGATAGAATTCCTAATTCGATTGCCGGACATTTGCCGAATTTTTCTGTTTAAAGATCTAGTTAACAGCCCCTAATGGGTTCATTGAAAACCAGATTTACGAGACTGATTTCGTGAAATGTTATCTATAAAGAAAACGCTACTCTATTAATGAAGTCAACATTTGCTGTATAACAACCAGGTGACGTTAAAACCAGAATCTCAGTTTTCCATGAGAATTAATCAAAATATATAGTTTTTATTATAATTATTGAAAAACCAACATCAAGTTAGTAGAAAAACATCATATTATTAGCTTCACTCTACTTACTTGGCTACTTTGGGGATATCGTAAGCCGTTTCTACTGTCTTTTGACCAGCTGACACACCTGCTGATAATAATAGACCCTTGACTGATAGTTCTGATTTCAGCTCCTAGATAAGACGATAAAGTTACTTAGATTTTATCAACTCAACATCATTAGTGTCCACGTTCAGGTAAATTATATTAATTAATACTAAGCAGATAACACTGTAAAATAACACTATTGTCACTAGGGGGCAATATAATTGATTGAAGTAATTAATTTACTATTATTTATTTGGAAAGACCCCCCCCCCCCCAAGTGGCACAGCGGTATGTCTGCGGACATACAATGCTAGAAACTGGGTTTCGATACTCGTGGTGGGCAGAGCACAGATAGCCCATAGTGTAGCTTTATGCATAAATTCAAAACAAACAAACTTATTTGATAATTGATTGAAGTAGTTAATTTACTATTATTCATTTTTTTTTGATACACCAGTAAGTTTGTTTTAATTAACAATCATGATATTAGTTTTAGTTACTAAACTACGTGTATTACAAAAGTGTTTCTTTGTTAAAATAAAACATATTAAAATCTACAAGTTGGTAAAATGGTTTAATTATCTAAAGTCATAGATAAGTAATAACGTCAACTGCTCAAAATTCACATGGTAATAGTTTGTCGTATGGCCTGATTAATAAAATCATATATGAATTAATAACAGCTAGCTGTACAGAAGTCACTTTGTGATAGTTCGTTGTATAGTCTGAATTAACATATATGAATTAATAACGGCTAGCTGTACAGAAGTCACTTTGTGATAGTTCGTTGTATAGTCTGAATTATCAGATATGAAGTAATAACGGCTAGCTGTACAGAAGTCACTTTGTGATAGTTCGTTGTATAGTCTGAATTATCATATATGAATTAATAACGGCTGGCTGTACAGAAGTCACTTTGTGATAGTTCGTTGTATAGTCTGAATTATCAGATATGAATTAATAACGGCTGGCTGTACAGAAGTCACTTTGTGATTGTTCGTTGTATAGTCTGAATTATCAGATACGAATTAATAACGGCTAGCTGTACAGAAATCACTTTGTGATAGTTCGTCGTATAGTCTGAATTATCATATACGAATTAATAACGGCTAGCTGTACAGAAGTCACTTTGTGATAGTTCGTTGTATAGCCTGAATTATCATTTCCAAAAAAATATAATTTCACAGCATATACGTATCAGTTGTTCAGCGAATATTGTGACGGAAACCCTAGTGGTTGAAATAGGAACTAAACATAAACGTACATTATACTTTTGTGACACGAAAGAAGTGTTACCTTGAGTAGAATAACAAAGTTTTCTTTGTCTTCTGGAATGCCACCGCGGTTTGCAGGATACTCCCAATCCAGATCCAACCCATCGAAGCCGTGCTTTAGTAGAAACTTTATACAGCTGATCACAAATTTCTTCCTCTGGACAGGATCCCGCGCCATATTGGAATATTTGATTGGATATTCATTCCAGCCCCCGATTGCCAGGATGGTTTTCAATCGGGGATTAATTTTCTTTAAGTTATTAAATCTTTTATATGCACCTACAAGTTCAAAAAAGGCAAATAAACAGTCGTACTTCCTAGTAAAATTTTTAATTTTTTGTCTATCACCCTTTTTTAAAAATAACATTAAATATGACGGTTTAATGAACTAGCAGTACTAGATTGAATTTAAGTACTTGCAACTCTTTGTTATCTGTGGTGATTTCATATATGCAACATAACTTTTAATAAATGTTTCCTATGATGATAAATCATTTGTTAAAAGCTTTAAGGTTGAATAAAATTGTTTAAAACACCCACACTATGATTGTAATTTTAGTAAACGAATGTTGTACAAATTTAAAAATAAAGGTCAAATTTGTTTATTGATCATTAATTCAGAACTCAAAATGGTCAGTAAGAAGCAATCTTTTAGGACGTTTTACAAAATATTTCCGTAAAGTTAATCCCTTGGTGGATTCGGAAATTTATAGAAAACAAAACTGATAACCTTAATTGGATAAACGGTTCATTAATTTGAAACTATTTGTCTTTAATTGTTAATTTATCTTAACTTAGAATATAAAAAAAATATAGTTCCTGAATTAAAACCTTAAATGCAGGGGTCAATTACAAAGGTCAATATATTTTAAACTTAATAATTTCATTAAATAATATATTATTTACTCTATGATTCGCTGGAATAATCTTTACTCAGTTTATACCTATAGATGTATGTGTGTACGTGTGCATGTAGCTAACTTATTATAAATTGGTAGAAATAGCTAAAATGACATTACAAATCCGCTTACCTAATCCCCAGTTTTCTGCCAAATCTAAATAATTATCAAAAGGGGCGATCTGGTTGTTGTGGTCCAACTTAGCAAACCCATAGATGAGATGGGTACAGAGGAAAGGGTCGATATTTTCAATTTTGTATTTTCCATCTCCCCAACGGTAATTAGCCCAACTTCCCAGGTAACATACCACCTTGTAAGGTCTATTGTTCACACCTGAAGAACAAAAGTAAATAATAATGATATCAACTCCTATGGATGACAATGATTTCACTGCACAGAAAGAGACTGATGAATAGTCGATCCAAATATAATATAAGATGACACTTTGATTGGTATTAGATATTTTTGCAGGTTTTTCTTTCCTGAAGAAGTAAAAATAGAGAAACCTGGATTTAAACCCGCATTCTTACTTGACGAGCAGTTATTCTAACAATATATATAAAATCTCCAACACAGCAATCTTCAGTTCATGTTATTTTTAAGACGAATACCAAGAGTTATGTTTCCTTTCCTGAAGAAGTAAAATAGAGAAACCTGGATTTAAACCCGCATAATAACTTGACGAGCAGTTATTCTAACAATATATATAAAATCTCCAACACAGCAATCTTCAGTTCATGTTATTTTTAAGACGAATACCAAGAGTTATGTAAAATGACTTCAGTTTCCACTTCTTCAGAAAATCATGTAAAATTTACATGATCCTGTGATCAGATCTTCAACATTTCTCAAGTTGGATGTTACATAATCCACATTACACCTCTTACATTTACTTTGAGAGAAAAATGTCTAATTTTTTTAAGGTTTACACCACGAAATGAGTAAGTTAGTTTCGAAAGCTGCACCATATTAATTACATCTGTATTACCCAGAGTATAATACATCAGCATCGTTTCACAACAGTGGTATTAAAGACTGTTCTGGGTTCAATCATCTTGCACGAGAAAAACATATTACACCCATAAACCAACTTCTTGGTTAAATATAGAGTTGTGAGGTGTTACTACATATTGTTCTTGGTTAAATATAGAGTTGTGAGGTGTTACTACATATTGTTCTTGGTTAAATATAGAGTTGTGAGGTGTTACTACATATTGTTCTTGGTTAAATATAGAGTTGTGAGGTGTTACTACATATTGTTCTTGGTTAAATATAGAGTTGTGAGGTGTTACTACATATTGTTCTTGGTTAAATATAGAGTTGTGAGGTGTTACTACATATTGTTCTTGGTTAAATATAGAGTTGTGAGGTGTTACTACATATTGTTCTTGGTTAAATATAGAGTTGTGAGGTGTTACTACATATTGTTCTTGGTTAAATATAGAGTTGTGAGGTGTTACTACATCTTGTTTTGTAGGTAAACTGTACTCGTTATGTTTAACTTTACCTCTAATAAACTGATCCCTAAAACTAACATGTTTGTCATCTGTGATTCTAAACATATCATAAATGTTGGACTATCTGAATCGATTGTCTTTTAAACGTTTTTTTTTATACACAGTCTGGAGACAGATGCTGATTAAAGCTAAGAGTGATGTCAAATATCGTATTTCACCTCCCGAACCTTTCCCACAGTGACGTCAAGGATCTAAGATGCTGTACATACCTTCCGACCTTCTGGACAAGGGTCCTCCTGATACTCCCAGGACAAAGACTAATGCCACAATACATGTGATTGTTTTCATGGTTAAATATGAATGCTGGAAAAAAATAGTAAATCATTTAATTTTTTGTAGAAGATATTTATAAAGCACCATCTACATGTAAAATGACATATATATATATATCAATCTTCCAAAGCAACATACTGGTTATTCCTAATTTTTATCTGTTTTAGATTAATATACGAGCATACTTAATCAGTACATAAGCACGGCAAACAGAGTTACAAAGGGGGGCCAACGAATTTCGGGTCTTGAAATAAAAAGTTACACATTCACAGAGTAAAGATTTAGGTAATTGGTAAATAACTTTTGGACCACCCTTTACATATGTATGTATATATCTATATATATACTTACATTTTGAATAATAATTATAATTCATAATCGATTTATTAAATGAGATTTTTATATATTTATTTAATATGTGTAAATACAAAGTGACAAAAAAGGAACATTTCAACTACAGCAAAACTCATTAATTTAAAAAGACGAATTTATAGAATATTAAAAACAACAACATTTCTCTAAAATGTAACGAAGACGGTGTTAAATTTTGACGTTCATGATAACTTACATCATTATAAATATATTAAAATGAAAATCAAACTTACTATGGTAGAACGACGTTCAAATTCTTGACTTTAACAGATGCTGCTTCGTCGACGGCAAGAGGCTTTAAATAGTTTTTAACCACATCATCATCTTTGATATTGCAAATAAACAAAGCAATCTTTTGACCTCTTGCATAAAATTCCAGTTGCGCCATTCTGGAGTCTAGTATTCTATTTAATCCGTAATTGACAAACCTTTTTGTTAGAATTAATCTTCATATTCATCAGTTGTTATCCTTATCAATTAAATTGTATACATACCCACGTTTTTGATAACTTCTTATTCTCAACGATAATTACAAAATCAAAACGGAAATGAGAAGTGATTATGATCGATGTTCAACATTCCCAGATATACATTTATAAGAGTAATATTCAAACTATGTCAAATGTCGTAAGGCAATCCATTTAATGCCCGAAGTAAAGCTACTTGCAAACAAATTTAAGCTTTGGAGTTTTTTTCAAGAAAAAATCATCGTGTTTACCTAACATATTAAACATTACAGTAACACTAAAAAACCATCGTGTTTAGCTAACATATTAAACATTACAGTAACACTAAATAATCCTTTTTTTTTCCTAACATATTAAACATTACAGTAACACTAAAAAACCATCGTGTTTAGCTAACATATTAAACATTACAGTAACACTAAATAATCCTTTTTTTTTCCTAACATATTAA